CCACACTGGAGACTAACTAACATAGAGTACCCTTTCTATGCTACTGGGCAGCTAAGCTGACCCCAGTAGTTTAACAAATAAAAAAATAAAAGATTGCAAAATACCTTTTTGTCTCCACACAGTTTTAGCAGTCTTTTTGACTCACAGTCTCTCTGTCTCTGCCCCAGCTCTTCACAGGAGAGACTGATTTCCCTCTGCATAGGGTTTATGTAGCTCCCTAATTGATGGGCTAGAGCAACCTGATTTTTAACCCCCTCTAGTCATGGAACACTGAAAGTGCCGTTCTGGAGCTAATATAGCAGTGTTCCTTCACACTGCCACAGTGGCTACTAAAAAAGACTGAACATACCCCATTTGCAATACCTTGGGTTGTCTTCTTTTGCAAATGGTATGCCATCATGGGGGTAATTCTCATTCCTGGGCTACCATACACTCTCAAAGGCAACATAACCAATTTGGCAAATTTCCATGTGAAAAAAACTACTTTATATTTGACCCTGTAACTTTCAAAAACACTATAAAACCTATACATGGGGGATACTGTTATCCTCAGGAGACTTCGCAGAACACAAATATTAGTGTTTCAAAACAGTAAAACGTATTACAACAATGATATCATGATATCAGTGAAAGTGCTGTTTGTGTATGAAAAAGGAAAAAACTTCACTTTCACTGACAATATCATCGCTGTGATATGTTTTACTAATATTTGAGTTCAGTGAAGTCTACCGAGTAAAACAGTACCCCGCATGTATAGGTTTTAGGTGTCTTGGAAAGTTACAGGGTTAAATATAGTGCTAGCTGTAACGGATCACAATAATTTCTTAGCTATAAATTCACTTGTTGAAATTCAGATATTAATCAAAATCTATTATCTTGTAAATACCTGTAGCATCTCCTTATGTTATGTTGAGCTATTGCATTGTGATGTGTGATGGAGCTCCTGTACTCCGAACGAGCACCTCTGCCCAATCCGCTTCCTAACCGTTGGTGAGGGAACTTGGGGTCTCTCCGGAACTCCTCCACATGACCAGACTCTTTTCCCAGGCAGGTATCATCCTCTCTGCCTATTCCCCTGCAGCTTTCCTTCCAGGCAGGTATTGTCCCCTCTGCCTATTCCTCTGTAGCCCTTCTTCCAAGAAGCTATCCACTTATGCCTTTAGAAAGACACTTGCAGCTCTCAGGCCTAGCTCTCTTTATTTATCCCAGGCCTAGAGGGATCGTGCAACCAGCCAACAGGTCCAAAGACTCTGGAATTCCTAAATATCCACACAGTACACAAGTTCTAAATTAGAATAAACATACAATACTTTATTTTACTTGGGACTAGCCCATATGCTTTTTACATCAAACTTGCTGTGACAAACTTAATAAAATACAAATAACCAAAGCATGTCAGAATTATAATAACATAATAACATATTTATAAATGGGTGAGGAAGACAATATTTAACACAAAATATCTCTCCTGTATGCTAAATTAGCAATATGCAAATTAACAAGCCTTGTAATTTAGGTAGTGCATGTAGCTGTTACTACCAACAGAGGGCGCTTTACAGGCTCCATAGCCACATCCACCGAGTTGACAGGAAACATCAGCAGAACAAGAGAGCACACAAAACAATACACAAATGCATATTCACACCCTGTACCTATAATGGGCACCGGTGGTGATTTAGTAGTAAAGTGTATGTCCGAAACTCCTGGTGATGGTGACTACTGTCACAAGATGGAATTGTGATTTTTTTTGTTTTGTTTTTACAGGTATTCTAGATACTGACCTTTATGCCCTATTGTATAAATAAGCAGTAATTACTAACAAAGGACTATGTTATTTTAGGTGAAGAAATAGGTAATATGTATGTTACTAATAATTTGACCCCCCCAATATAGGTCAGAAACGTACTGTCAACCCTTGATAACAGACCAAGTGCACTTCATGAAGTCCAGTCCACCAACAGTGCTGCAACAGCTATAAAAAGTTTAAGAACAAACTCTATGGATCCACATGTGTATCATTGCAAATTGGTAGGCCAAACTTATTTACCTGCAACCAAGTGAGTTTTTCTTCATACATAAGAAGATTTCTATTCATACTAACTGGGGAGTCTTTATTCACTTTAAAGGTATTAAACCAGTAAAGCCCGGATGTATGATAAAGAAAAATGATTTTGTTTTGTGCTTGTACCAAAAAAAGGGGGGAAAGCCCTTATGATTTTGACAATACGGAAAAACCAGCACATTCATATTTTATTTAGATTCTTAATAATAATAATAATAATAATAATAATAATGATATACTTTCTTAATGTTTGCTAAGAACGCCTAATTTAAAACTCACAAAAGTAAAAAAAAGAGTGTTTGTATATATATATATATATATATATATATTATTTCAGACGTGTACCTGCCTTATATAAGTTTTGGGGATGCTTATGTCATCATCAGTATCATAAATATATCAAACATATCTTGCAATCCTATTAATCTTACTAATCCCTCCCACCCAGATCCCCCCTCTATCCCTATTGATTAATTCTTAGTATAAGTTTTTGTCTGTTTACTTTACTCATCTGATCTTGGAGAAAGAGAGAACCTATTATATCCTGTATAGTTTCAATGTTTTATTATTCTATTTGTCTGCCCGTTTTGGGGTGGTATTTTTTTCCTTTCTTCCCCCTCATCTGTTCTAATACTTCCCTTCACTGTGACTGAGCATGCGCTCTCTCTCTGTTGGTTATTGCGATCTAAATTCTGAAAGAAGGAAAAAAAGAAAGATCACTATGGAGAGCAGAGAAAGCTTGATATATTATCCATTTTGTTTATCCATGTTTCCCAGTCTTCTGTTTGCTTATATCTGTTCCCTAAATTCACCAGAATACCCCTTTCCATTCTTGCTTGCCATATAACCTGGAAATATACAAAACAAAGGAAACGCCTCCGAAGAAATTGTTCAGACACAAAGGATTTTATAGAACAGGCCCAATCAGTGAAAGAAAAATTTACTGACAAAAATTACCCACAAACTAACCTCAATAAAACTAGAAACGGTCACCAAAAAAGATAGAAAAGAACTTTTAGAATATAAATAAAAAAAAGACAAAAGACTCTCCTTTTATGCCTGTCATTTTTAATTTTAATAATAGAAGCACTACTATCAAAAAAATCATCAAGTACTGGCATATTTTAAAACAAGACGATATCCTAAAAGATTTTATCCCTGATAAGCCCAGTATAGTTTTTAGAGGTGCTCCAAATTTTAGAACCATCCTCACCAAAAATTACACCAAAGACCACACAAATAAAAATTCCACCTTTTTATCTAACTCCAAAGGTTTTTTAAATGTAATACTTGCATAGTGTGCAAAACAACAGATCACAGCATAAAGTAAAAAAAACTACCCATTTCACATCCCACACAACAAATAAATCCTATCCCATAAAAGATATTGTGAGCTGCAATAATAAAAATGTTATTTATTTATTGGAATGTCCATGCGGCCCACAATATGTGGGCATGACCTCGTGATGCCTAAAAACAAAGCTAGCGGAACATTGCCGAAACATAACAAAAGGCTACCCAAACCATCCCGTGTCAAAACACTTTTTAATACATGAAAAATATCCGAAAGTTTTAAAATGTATAGGGATACAAAGATGTAAACTCCCATGGAGAGGTGAAGATGTAAAAAAGATTTTAGGCCAAAAAGAAATGTACTGGGTCTTTCTTTTAAAAACCCTTAACCCAGAAGGGTTAAATGTTGACTTTGACCTTTACAATTTTTTATAATTTTTTACAATTTCTTAAAATATTTCTTCTTTATATATTCTTATTAGCTCTGAAACAAAAAAAACTAAAAATAATTATTTAACTTTTTTAAAAAATCAATTTTTTATGTTACTGTATTCAATGCACCAATAAGCCTCTTTATATTCATATATAAGTATATCCACTATAAGCTGTCTTTTGTGTATTTACTTTTATGCATATTTTTTGATTTGTTTTATGGAACTTTATCCTTAAACTATTAAGTTTATTCATCTAATTAGCCTTTCTCAAATATCAACTAATAGTGTGCTTAAAGCATTTTGTAAACATAATCATGTTAATTTATTTTCCTTTATTTAAAAGTCATATAATATATATGCACCTTCCTTATTTATAACTACATTGCACTGTTCATATGTATCTAGTTATCACATTCCCCTGTCTCCCCTTCAGTCATATTTGTGTGTTACATTTATTTGCATATTGTATAAACCTGTGTCCTTTCTGCCTTTCAAGGCAGTATCATCACTCTTCTAAGCAGAGTTTAATATTCTCGGGCATTACCCATGCCCACACAGCATCCGCCCTCCCTCCTTGACAGCATGATTAGCTGGATACACTTCCTAGCCGACAGCATATAAACACGCCCACGGCCGCATACCATGCCCCCTCCACCTAACACTGCACACTCCCTCCCCTAAGCTCGGCAATACTAGCTGCTACTACAGTTCCCAATACCCCCAGCGGCACGTCACGTGACCGCCCCGATTCCCAATATGGATGCCGATCACGTGACCACCTTAAACATAATTTTTAATCTATTTATAACCCTCGTTTTTATTTCAAACTTTAGGGGAAGCTGCCCTGATTTTTGATCTATACACTTGTATAATTATTTATGAATTTTGAAAATGTACTTTATTTTATGACGTCATTTGGGCGCCAAACCCTTTTACTGTTCAGTCCCCCTATATAAACCCTACCCTACCAAGCATGTTTTTTTTCTCCACTTGAGAAAGCCATCATAGGTGAAACGCATTGTGGATATTTTAATATTTATTCTGTATTCTTAATAAAGGTATTTTGGCTACTTTTAACATACCTTGATTGTGCCATTTTACTTTTTTATTTATTAATTTATTTATTTATTTTTGCTTGGCATCCTGTTTTTATCTTTCCTGCTGAGTATTACTCCAAGACATCCTAGGTGGGGATTAAACCACTTACGCCCAAATCATTGAGCAGTTCGTCTGCTCAATCATATGTGAGTACCCATTTTATTTTATATACTCCTTATATACTATTTTATACAGTGAGCACTGTTAGTTGTCTCCTTTTTCTTTTATGATCTATATATATATATATCTATATATATCTATATATATATACTCTACATGTATCCTACAAGCGGGGATTATACCGCTGTAAGCCATTCACACTAGAGCTGGTTCAAGCTCTACCGCACGTGAGTAGGACTATATTAGTCTCTATTGTTGTTATACCATCTTTACTAGATGTACTGCCCTATCATCTGTCTTTTTTTCCCCACATACAGACAAAAAGACCAACACCCCTCTACGTATCCCATAAGCGGGGATTGTACCGCTGTACGCCATCCACACTAGAGCTAGTTTAGCTCAACTACACATCCTGGAAAGCTGCCTCCATTTCATCCATACAGAGAATATCCCTCTTCATAGGCCGTTGATACCCCATCAGGCTCCACTAAAGAGTTTGTTTTATATTACTTTGGACTTTGCTTTTCACTATTTTGGACTTTGTTCATATTAGCTGGACTACAGCCAGCTTTGGCGCAACCTTCATTTGTCTTGTTTTGCCATATAACTTGTTTTATTAGTTTTGGTGCATGGAATTATTCCTATTTTTCAGTTTCGTGCTAACAGAAATTTAGCTGCCGTGATTATGTGTAATATTCACACTGGCATATTTGGCCAGTTCATGTTTAGTAAGACCATTTCAGGCTTAAGAGGTAATTTTATTTTGGTTATTTGATATATTATCTTAATTACTTCTTTCCAAAATGTGTTTATGGGTGTGCACTGCCACCAGAAGTGAATCAAATTACCTTCATTAATATTGCATTTCCAGCATCTATCTGCTAAGTCTGGGAGGATTTTCTTTAAGCGTTTCGGTGTTAGAAACAATCTATTTGATAGTTTAAATTGGGTTTCTGTAAGGTTTAAGAAGTGTATATTTTTTTTAGTTAGTTTAAAGAGCTTATCCATTCTTCTTCTTCTATATGTACTTAGAGTTCTTTTTCCCATTTATTAATCAGTGCTATCGGTGTGTCATGTCTCCATCTATATACAACTTTGGCACATTTTGCCCTTAGATTTTTATAAATCTTTAGAACAAATAGATATATATAAGGTTTATGGTATTCTCCCCCTTGTTTTTATAGAGGTGTTCTGCTAAGAAACTCTTAATTCGCAGATAATTGAACGTTTCACTGGGGGGGGGGAGGTATGTTAAATTCCTCCATAATTTGTTTGAAGGGTTTGAGATTATGTTCCACTACTATATTGTTAAATTCCCTTATCCCCCCCAGACGTCCAAATGTCTGTTTTTATATTTTCTAACATATCTGAAATACTTGAGAATGGGAGCGCATCTATTATTTTATTTCTGAGTCCTTTGTTGTTTGTAAATTTATCCCACCACCTAATATACCTCTACAACCCAAAATAGTGATAGTATTGCAAAATTTCTGGGCATCCCAAGCCTCTGTCCTGCCTTGATCTGGCCAAAACCTTCATTTTAACTTGTCAGGGTGTTTATATCGGCAGACATCTTGTGCTATGATAGAAATTAAAAGTGTATATGCTGAGTCACTTTTGAACAGAGCAGACTCCATTTTGTTATTTTCAAGCTAACAAAAGACACAAGATTTCTATCTGTAAAACTAACCACTTTCCCAGAGCTAAAGGAATGCATAGTATATACAAACCAAGTCATAAGGAGAACGGGGGTTGGACAGACTGTCTAAATGCTAATGGAATATAATCAATTCTAAAACTTTTTATATTGTATAACCCCCCATTGTAGTAAAGGGTTGAAATTGAGTTTAGTACTGTCAATTTTACAACTTACGATCAAGTAGATGCCAGAAAGACTGGCACAAATGCTTTGAACTGACAGCAAATCTAAGTTATAGTAGTCATTTTAGATAAGCCAATTGACGTCAAAATCGTCATCAGGAAAAGTTAACTCTTTCCTGGATAGGATGGTTTCGTTAGACGAGACTGCCATCTATGGATCAAATACCTAAATCGCGATCCCTAGATTGGACACACCTATGGCTTCCTATTGGGTTATCAACTAATGACGTACAGAGAGTCTGGCCCTTTAAAAGTTAAGACAGAGAAAGAAGAGGAGAGGAGAAAGAGGTAGGCGAGGAATACAAGGGTATACAAAGGAAGCAAAGAAGTGAGCAGTCGGAAGCAATGCAGAGAGGCCTATGACAGATATCCACTCTAGGACACTCAGAAATTCCTACACACCTCCATGCAGAGAGACATCCAAATAAGTTCCTGAGACTATCTACCAATCGGATGAAATATCTACTCAACTGGTAATTATACTGGTTTCATTTAATTAATTAAATTAATTAAAATTTACTAATAGCATGATATATGACTGGATAAATCACGGTCAGATTTCCATATTTAGAAATCTTAGTTAACTAAAGAATATATAGTTATAAACATTCCATTCTGCAGGTGGAATTAAGAATAATTATATATTAATGTGATAGTATCACATGTTAGCATACCGCTGTTTTTATCCAGGTGTATTGATTTGCTCTAATATAAGATATTTTTTTTAGGCGAATTCAAAATCTGCTTATAAAATCTGGTAGATTCTCTTATTGGATGGTTCCAGGAAATGACTAATGAACTGGTTTAAATGTTATTTTATTTAAAATTACATAAGAATAGATCTTAATTACCTAGGAGGTCTAGCCAGCATTGAAAGGGTTATTCTAACTGTCAGCTAAACTTTACGACCTTACGCTGCACTCTGAGGAATTCTGTTCTCTGCGTGAAACTTTTTCTTTCTCTCTGTGAAAGATAGTCATAAATCTAGTCTTGACAGAAAATGCTGTTTAGCCATTGAAACGTGTATAGCCATTCCTTTGTATTGCATACCATTTTATACTGGATATTCATTGATTATTGTCACGCATGTTACATATTATTATTATTAATTATTGGTCATAATAAATAAATCTATTTTTATAACATTGTGATTTTATCTATATGAAATACATTTCACTTAACACGATAACGATCTTTGGGATCTGAGAATTGAATTAGTGGGCAATTCTCACTGTTTACTATTATTATCCCATAAATATCCCCACAAACTCTTGGTTTCCTGCCCCCCCATAGAAATTTAAAAAAATAGGAGTGTAGTAAAAACAGCCAGTTTTCTGGGAAGTTAGTAGGAATTATTCTCCACAAGTACAGCCATTTTGGCAAAATATATGCTTTTAGGCTGTTGATCCTCATGAATCGCAAATTACCATGCTGGATAAATTTGCAGGTGATAGATCGAAATACCGGTCTTCCATTATGTCCTGTGAGTTAGTGTTTGACCTGAAACCGTGCACGTACCATACCGATTCTATCATGGTTCATTCAATTATCTTGCTCCTTTCTAGTCCTCCTCAGGAATGCAAAGTAGGGATAAGGACTAGTGCTTTTTTCTCACACTATATTATACCAGTGTATATACAGCGATATTATACAAATGAGCAGCTAAACATTCTTGTGACTCCTTCAATGTAACCGATTACTCCAACAAGAAAGAAAAAAAGAAACAATTATTTTAAAGAATGTAGCGCTTATAAAATAGACAAATAAATTATCACCTTTTTATGTTCTGTTGGAAGATAGATTCTCATTTAAATGTCGAATAAGTAAGTATCTAAAAAAGATAATCAAACATAGTGTAGATGGTACATAGCTATAAAATTATATTTGTATATGATTGTTACACACCCACAAACAGAGAGCTATGGACCGAGCTCTGGTTTGAATCCCTTCTGGGTCCGTATAGGCGACCCACCCCTGCTGTGAATGTATGTCTTGTCCTAAAGGGGAATAAATACACCCAAAATAGCGCAGCACAGTTGGTGGTAGTTTAACATAAAAATACCGTTCCCAAATGGGTACTTACAAACAGAGTCTAAATTGACTCAATTCTTGAGCAGTATGCAGATTATGGACTGCACTCCCAACTGTAGAATGATGGATGGAGAACCAGGATGAAAAGTAAAAAAGGTAAACAAATTTATTAATAAATTAGGAACAATATCCAAGTAAAACCGGAACGCATTTCACCACTGGGACGTGGCTTCTTCAACCGGATCGGTGAGCTGAATGTTTCCTGGTTCCCCGTCTTCGTTTAAATACTGCTCCAAATCAATGAATGTATTGCCGGTGTGTATGTGCCGCACACGTCATTACCACCCACAGGTAAGACGTGTGCGGTCCATGCCTCGTTATCATGCCGTGATTATGTGCTGTCCATGCCTCGTTATCATACCGTGATCGGAGGCAGCTGAACGGATTCTCTCACTCGGAGTTCCGTCAGCTGCCTTCGTTTCTACAAAAATCAAAAAGCATTACTCCTGTATAGAATTCATGGCTGTAATCCATATATAGTCTTCTTAAAACAGCAAACGAATTCAATTAAGCATTCCAATCTTTCACCATCTCATGTAAACGGAGGAGTCCGCATGGGTTGCATTAACTCATAAAGTGCCAAAGTCCATAAAAGGATACATAAAAGAAAAAGATGGAGAAAAGTATCAATCCTTAATGTTCATATATGTATCATATCAAAATCAAATAGATACATCTTTCACAGATAAAATGGGAGATAGCCACTTTAGAGAAATATATTGAGGAAAAAATAACACCAAGAGGTCTCAGATATTTTAAAATGCCAACTTTCGACAGAGACAGTGATATTTTTATGAAAGAGTGGAACGATATGTTGGAGAGTTTTTCTTTCAGTAGTATGAATTTGATCATCAAAAGAAGAAAGGAAAAATTAAAAGAATTAGATAAAGAAATAAGTAGATGTCAAGATGTTCTATTAAATTCCTCCATTTGAGGAACAATTTGAGGACATTACGTCCCATATTGAAAAGAATTTGGATAAATTGGAGAAAGAAGTCATGGGGATTAAGAAGAAGAAGTACTTTAGGGATACCCATGACTATGAATTAAAACAAGTAAGATCTTTTTCTAAATATGAACAACAGACTACAACCAATACATGGGGGGGTAGGTATAGTCCTAATGTCCAGATCTTTTTATGATTCCGAAGCAGAAAGAATTTTAAGAGATACAGACACTTATCAACAATTGAATAAGAATACAAGTGAAGACATAAAAAAAAAAAATTCTAACATTTTTTGAAAAGGGTTTGAGCATGAACATCCTAAACACCAAAGATTTTCAGTTTTTAAATATTAAATATCCTAAGATTCCAGTGTTTTATTCTCTGCCTAAGGTACATAAAGACACTCAAAAACCCCCAGGCAGACCAATTATAGCTGGTATAGACTCAATATCAAGTAGATTATCACAGTATATAGATGTTCAACTTCAACCTTTGGTGTTTAAAACGAAATCCCATATTAAAAATACGATAACGGTTTTAAATCTTTTAGAAAATGTAGTTTGGGACACGGATTGCACTTTAGTCACATGTGATGTATCTGCACTTTATAGTAGCATACCTCATTCCTTTGGATGTAGAACAATAGAATACTTTTTAACTCAATCTATGGATTTTTTACCATCACAGACAGAATATATTCTGGAGGGAATAAAACTCATATTAATGAATAACTTTTTTTGGTATAATGATAACTTTTTCCTACAAGTTAATGGGACGGCCATAGGGACCAAGTTTGCCCCCAGTTATGCTAATCTATTTATGTCATTCTGGGAAGACTCGTTTGTCTATGGTGGACATGACTGGGGGGAGAACTTGGCCTTCTATGGCCGTTACATAGATGATATTTTATTTATATGGAAAGGTTTGGTCCAATTCTTAGAATTTTTGAATAATAACACTTGAGGCATAAAATTGACGAGCACATGGAGTAAGAAGGAGGTTACCTTTTTAGATTTTGATATTTAAATTGAAGAGGGGAGAATAAAGACTAAGAATCATTTTAAATCAGTAGATTGGAATAGTTTTATTGAAAGCATAAGTTGCCACCATTCCCCCTGGTTGGAAAATGCCCCTAAAGGACAATTCCTTAGAATCCGTCAAAACTGCAGTGAAGTGATTAGTTATGAGGCTCAATCATTAAAAATTAAAACTGACTTTATGGAAAAAGGACATGATCCATCAAAACTGGAGAAATCAAGATTAGAAATTAAACATAGGGAAAGAAAAGATCTATTAACTTATAAAACAAGAACTGATTCAGATTAACAAGTTCTCCCTTTTATTTGTAATTTTAATACCCATAATCAACAAATAAGGAAAATTATTAACAAATATTGGCCAATCTTATTACAGGATCCTGCCCTAAAATCAATTCTTCCTTATAAACCTAGAATAATCTATAGGGGTGTGAAAAATCTTAAAAGCACTCTAGTACGAAGTTCTCTGAGATAGAGAAAAGATCTCCCGACTATATTCAAAAATGAAAGAGGTTTTTATGGCTGTGGCTCATGTCAATCTTGTAAAAAGTCTGGATGCAAAAGAAGGATAATTAAGGATATACCCTTAAATGGGAACGTAAAAATACCTATTAGACAATTTATGACGTGTTACACAAAGAACCTTATCTACCTTCTAACCTGCCCTTGTGGGTTAAGAAATGTGGGCCGTACAACTAGACCCTTACACGTGAGGATTAGAGAACACATATATAAAATCCAGAAAGGGTCTGAACAACACAGTGTTTCCAGCCATTTTAAAAAGTTTCATAATCAAAAACCTGAAGGTTTATCATTTATGGGCTTAAAGAAAATAGATAGAAATTGGAGAGGGGGAGATTTTATTAAAGAACTGGGAAAATCAGATATGGAATGGATTTATAAATTAAATACACTAATTCCCTATGGACTTAACTCTGAATTTGAAGTTTGCCACTTCCTATAATTTTAAGTGATTTAATTCAAGGCCATTTGATTTATTATAAGGGGTTATAAATTATAATATGATAATTTATGATATTATAAGTACGAATTCTCCCCTGAAATTCTCCCCGTATTGCCCGCCCTCTTTATTGCACTATCTGTGAACTATTTGAGCTAGTTAAACACCGGAGCCCCCTTTATTCCAACTGACTCAGTGGGTCTAACCAGCACGGATTTATTGAGTTGGCATGTCCTCGTAGGAGCAGTGTTCACGTTATATTTAGTTAATTGTACTTTTGGCACTTGTATACAGTGATGTAGCCACTTTCACAGGAATTGATCAAATTTACACATTCTTTCCTTCATATCAGCTAACAGATTTTGATATACATTTGTTGCTAATCCTAGTGGTCTAGTTTTAGATAGTTATTTTGACTAAGTCTATTGTGACTATTGCGTTACTTTCAGTGTGCATATTCCTAGGATACCTTATTCGATATTATTCAGCTTTACAGTTTGCGGATC